GGACCCTCTCTTTAGGCGACGTCCTGCACACGCGGACGCCGCCCCCTCGCGGCTGGCCATGAAGACGGTCCACCTCCGGGTATAAAAACAAATAATTAAAAATGATTTCTGTTTCTCTATCAATTAGAGTTTATTGCTTATATTTTAATTGTATACCAAACTGCTTAAAATGCATTAATTGAAATGAAATGTGTAAAAGTGATACCTGGACAATTATTTAAATGGCCGAATCCTTTTCTTAAAATTACCCATTGTCACACTGAAAACGAGCACTCTTTTGAACGAATATAAAGCTAACCAATACTCAAGTGCGCATCGAATCAAATCGCATTTCAGCGCGTGAACGCGATGAACAACATGCGTGTTCTGGTAACTCACACTCTGTTTAAGTCGTTGCCATTCACATTAAAGTACGAAAAGCTTGCTCCAGAACTTTGACTTTATCTAATTATTACAAAAATAAAGGAAAATGAAGCCACCATGATCTATACTAATAGCTGTTCAATATTTTATCAAAGGTTAGGAGTTATAGAAATGTTATCGCTTTTCAGAATAAGAACGCCAAAGTCGACCGAAGATCGCAGTTGAATAATATAATAGGCCTCGTATAATGAAAACATGGCTTCATTTTCCTGGTAAAACGCCAGCCTCTTTGAGGCAGCATTTTCATGGAGATGCAATGGAATCTAAAGTGTATTTTCATCTAAACGCAATTCGATTTCCATTCAATCCAGTTGATTACGATTTATGGTCACTTCAAGAGAGTGTTACATGCTCCAAACGATTAAATAATTTGGAATCCCTAAAACATTCAATCAGATTGGTAGTAGTGAACATTTTCTTGAAGAAAGGTTGAATCCTAATACTGGGATGATTGGCCATTGAGTTGTGTTAATTGAACGGGCAATAAACGGGGAAATACGGGGAAACGGGGAACGGGGAACGGATAATAAATTTAAAATGAAAGGTAAATAAGAAGAAAAGGTAAACAATGGCAAGGTATAGTGCGTTTACATCAATTGATAGATTGGGGTGTGAGGTAACTCGACCAGGTCAGGGTCGCATACACAATAATAATAATAATAACTTGACACATCTGACACACGGCCGTCTGATCCCAAACTAGGCAGAACCTGTACTATGGTAAACAAACTGCTGATAAACATACTTATGTATTTCAAAATATATATATATTATAGATAAATCACACCCCGACAGAGAACAAAAGATTGTGCTCATGGCACAATTATTTATCCTGGGTGGGAACCGAACCCACGAATTCTGACATAACAGTCAGGGTTACTAACTAATCAACCAACATGCCAATCAGAGTTTGACATATTTAAACTTCATGTAACTTGCATTGGTTGTTACAGGAAAGTCCGGGCCCTCTGTACCAGCAAAGTACCGGTTTAAACTTAAAATATCCTTTATGTACGTCTGATACAACCATGACTCATCCTCACAAAGAAACAATGAATGAGATAATTAGCGATGCGCTTATCTTTACATCTGCAGACCGAGGCACTGGCAAAATTATTAAATTAATAATATACTTAGGCATAGTGATGGGAATTTCAAACATCGATATCGATATTCCCAACAAATAGACTGGTGTTTAAATTTCAATTCGAATATTTTCATTAAATATTTAGTAGCTTACACACGCAAAGACGGGGCAATGAAAGAAAAACTATTTTCTCTACTACTGTTACGAATAAACATATTTGGGAGTAAATTACAATCTTATGAAACACGCTGTGTTGTTATATTAGCTGAAGCTGAATTCTAATTTTGCTTAAAAATAATTTCGATCAATTAATTTGTTTTTAGTCTTTTCTAGTTTACACTAGATACTAGCAAGCTACTATGCACCTAAAAACAGACATTCCTAAAATCTGCATAAATTAGTAGAACATTAGCTGGAAACAGTCGTTCTGTTCTAGAAGAAAGGTCCTGGCCTTGTCACCTTCTAGACTTGAAAGTACAACGATAAGATTTTCTGTTCAAGAAACTCACGATAAATACAAAATACTTCACTAACTAAAAGACAAAAAAAAATTAGCCATTATTCTACAGTATTATTAAATATAATGTTTGGCATGTTTAGTAAAGCTGAAGTTTAACAATAGATTCAATAATTAAATACCTTTTTTATTATAGGGGAAGTCAAATGAACAGACGTTTGCAACATTTTGACTTTTCTTTTTTAGATGGAATAGGGCGCAAACGAGCAAACGGGTCACCTGATGGAAAGCGACTATCGCCGCCACTGAACGCCTACAACTCAGGAGTCACAAGCGCATTGCCAGCCTACAGAGTACGCTCTTTTCTTGAAGTTTTGAAGGTCGTATCGGTCCGGAAATACCGCAGCCGATAACTTGTTCCACAGGTTGGTAGTGTGAGGCAAAGAGTGTCTTGAAAAGCGCACAGTGGTGGATCGCCAATTATCCAAGTGGTGGGGATGAAGATTTTGCCGTGTGGAACGATGGCGGAAGGTTGCGGCCGGTATTAGGCCAAACAATTCCTCGGAGCACTCTCTATGATATATACGATAGAGAATGCAGAGCGAAGCTACATCTCTACGTAACGCCAAGGGATCGAGCCGGTCGCAAATCTTTTAATTACTTTAAACTTTTTATCGATGTGCTTGTTTGTGCTTCCCTCAGCAGACTACAGTGACCCGTAAACTCTGACCATTGTGTGATCCTCTGATAATCCAACAGTAACGCTTCTTAGACTTTAATTATAGGTGTTATGATGTTAAAGTCAATGACCGGCGGATTAAAGGCTTTTGTGAAAACACGCTTTTTAATTATTTTTTTAATTCATGGGAGCAGCCAAGCAAACAGTCATCAGTATTATTACTGTGTTCTCATGAATGTCTTCCGTATTTGGCAGGGCGAAGAAGGGACGAGTACCCAATTACCGCTGGTTGCATATGGTGGAGAGAGAGTATCGCCATTGCATGCTTCCCTTCTTGCAACTCTTGATATGCACTAATCAGTTTCACCAACGTCCCGTAACTAAATGCGTGCCTTTTAGAAGTCCTAGTATGGTTACCAACAAACATGAGCCGCACATATTTTAAAAAGATTTTAAGTAAGTATTTATAAAAAAGTGTATATACTATTGGACCTCTATTATTCGGTAATAATATGCATGTGTATAAATATAATATTCAGAACGTCACATCATATACACGATACGCAGGATGTGAGTGATTTAAACGCAATTTTGTTTACTCGACGTGGCGATCAAATGAAACGATTCATTTCACTCATATAGTTTATCAATACTATTGTGATTTATTCCCCTTTTAAGTGAAATAGTTTTTAAGTTAAATCAATCCTTGTATCGACCTGACCATGGCACATACATAGTAGTGACAAAGATAAAGAAATTGAATCAAGATAAAAAATGACCATCAAAAATTGAATGGACGTTGGGATTAATATATTCTAAGAGATAATCATAGAGAATAAACAAAGCTTCTTAACTATACCATAAAGATGCAAATTTATAAATTGTCTATTCACAGATCGTACAGATAATAAATGTTTGTAATAAAATATACAATTATATGTAAAAGTCATGTTAGAAGTCAATGGTCGAGGTGTTTTATAGCCTTTTGTACTGTACTGATGGATAAAGTATAATTTTTTGTACGTGAAAATTCTAGATCGTAATGTAGATAGAATAAATAGGTATGTACTTTCTAATTGGCGAAATATTCGCCTAGAGATTGGAGAACAATAAACAAAGGCTAGACATGAGATCTTTGTGGACTTACAACGTTTCTAATATAAATTTAGAAGTAGGTACCATAGATAAGCAATCGTAATTAGTAGAACACAGTACGAGCAACAAGTAGGTATGTTTGTAATTAACTTTTAAAAAATAAAACTGTCTTCAATGTGCGTATATAATGATGAATTGTAACTATATTCTCCATGCCTTAATTTTTCACCCTTAGGGCTGGTAATTTTTGGTTCAAATTTGATTGTGATCAAGAGAGTATGTTCACCCTAACAAAAATAATAAGAAGAAGAAACTAGGAAGGAATTGAGTGCTGCCTATTACTCAGATGGACTCAATTGGATGACACAGCGTAGTACCCTTACTGCGACCCCTATAACCTGAGTGTGGCTGCCGATGGACAGGACGGGTTTTTTAGTGGCCAGTCGCAAGAAGACGACGTCCACGTGTGCCTAAACGTCGCGTAGCCTAGTTGAGACGAATTCACCCAGGGCCCTTTAGCGGGCAGACGGATCCTGATGTCTTAATAAAAGCTATTTTCTATTTGACAATTTTAGGTGCAGTATAGCATTCTGGCACCGTCTGGTTTTAGACGGTTAGCCAAAGCCGTGGTGGCACGACATATAGAGAAAATGATTTGCATACCCATACAAAACTCATACAAGATTTACAACAAAAAACACTGACCGTTGTTTTTCGCCTCGTTAACTTTTATCGTCTTGTTACAAACACGAGATGTAGTATACCATTAGTTTATTATCAGTGTGCAAATCTCTTGGTAGTTCATTACACTTACCGTAGAATTTCAACTTGTTATACAACCAGTCCGGAGTGGGGGTCATTGATTCGAGAATTTATTTTTATACTTACATTGTGTGATGAAAAGGTGAGGTCAAATTTTATGAGCGTTGAGTAGCCGACAAATACTTAAAGCTTGAAAATATTTTTTTTTGTTTTTTAATAGAAAAATATTATTGGGTAATTAAAAATGTGTACATAATTATTATCAATTAATACGCTTTCACCAAAATTTGGTCTAGAAATGGACCACCAACACCAAGAATGGTGATCCTTGGTTTTACGTATTCATTATTTCAGTTCTGTTAGACCTGACTCATTTAAAAGTTAATTTTAAAATAAAATTTCTGTACGACATAAGATGAATTTTATAGAGTGTTCATTTTTATCGATGATTATAATCAATAAAAAAACATAAATAAATATTGAAATTAATATATTTTTTATTTCTTCTGCTTTTTATCTGTCTTCTCTCTCTTCCTCTTGTTAATTGGATTCCTGGGGTCGTATATGTCGAACCAATCATCGCCTTTACTGCTGGCGTCCTTTGCGAGCACTGCACCTTTATCCTCGAAGCGTAGAGTGTGACCCAACCTGTTTAAAAAAAGGAGCATTAAGACTTTAATATTTAAAGCAAGAATATATATTCAGTTATATACCAAACTTCCTTGGGCATTAGTTTAGTTTCGGCATGAATCTTTTGACTGAGTGAGTGAGGTCACTGGAACCCAAACTGCCTCTTACTCCTTCCCTTATTTTTGAACTCCCGTCAAAAATAGGGTAAGTAACTCAAAGACTCTTGAGTCGAAGTGTCCATGAGCAGCGGTAGTCGCTTACTATCAGTGACCCATGTGATGAAGGATTAAGAATACGGAATGTTACCACCCCTATTCTTCCCGTTGATGTCGCAAAAGACGACTAAGGGAGCAAACTACGCAGGACAACAGCACTGCGATGAGAAGGAAAACTTGAAACCTTATACCAATCGGTCTGGCCATCGTGGTATAGTAGGCCAATACCTCCTTTCTAAGAAGTGGTATATGTCCAGCAGTGGGCTATTAATGGCTGTTGATGATGATGATGATGAGTGACCCATCTACTCGTTTCTCTCCTACAACTTAAAAGAAAAAATTGCTGAAAGATGGCCAGGGTCTTACACCTATAACCCGCACTTGTCATTTCCGGGAAGTTCGACTACTCTAACTGGAGTTCTATTATAAAAGATTATATCTTTTGTCTAACTCCTAAAATATAGATACAAAATTAAATACGTACCAATCATCCGAATTCAAATTATCATCATCGGTTTCCATCTTCTCCGGCTCCCCTTCTGTTTGTGTCTTCTCCTTGATAGCGTGGAGTTTGTTTTTGAACTTAGCCAGCAGTTCAAGTGTGAAGGTTTCCCTGCGATAACAATAAAATAATAGTGATAGAAGTATTCGCGTTTATTACTGGTTCATGGTCCGTTCGCGTTAAGAAAATTGTGACGTATCGACCAAGTTTAGTCCCCTGACCAATCAGGTTTCGAGAATTTATCGTTTCGTACGAAAGTATAGAAGCCGATTGGTCTGCTTGCGTTGCTTGATCGATGCGTCACTATTTTCGTATCACGAATGGACATGTTTTCAAGTACATATTATTACGGATAGGATAAGAAACTAATTCTCAAAAATAAACATGATAAATATCCCGTTTCTAATATTGTATTAAGTGAAAATGAATCGCTGCATACATATTATCATCTTTAAAAGATAAAAAAAACCGTCTTTAAACCGCTGTACAAAGCAAACCAGTTACAGTACGCTGTAATGCGTCAACTAATTTTACTAAAATAAATAACATAAAGTCTTGTATGTCAACCTAAACCAAATATTAACCGAAAAATAATTTAACATTCAGATATTTCGCTATATTCCTCCCTCTGTCTTCTAGTAACGAAAATAAAAACGAACGAGGTACTCACACTAGGAAACCTAAAAGATTCAATTCCCACAAAATTTGTGACATCAAAATATAAATGGCCTGACTCTGGATGTAAACAACACCTACACTCGGGCCAGCTGTTTGTGGGTGCCAACAATTTCTGTCTCGTTGAGCCAATGTTTGTAAAGTCCCCCAGGGATTTTCCCATAGGAATTATTCTTAAAACCACAGAAATCGATGCTAAGATGATAAAATAAAACATTATTTATTTGCACAACCTGTATATTTTTAGTCTTGTTATGAGTTAAAATAATAATTTTACACTTCTAACACACGGCCGTCTGATCTTAAACTAGGCAGAGGCTGTACTATGGTAACTAGACTGCTGATAAACATACATGATGATACTAAATACATACATTTTATAGATTAATTACACTCAGACACAGAACAAATGATCGCGTTTATCACACAATTATTTGCCCTTTTCTTTTTTTTTTTTCCGTGCGGAAATCCCCTCGGATACCACCTGTCGCTGGCATGTCGGACTCGAACCGACTAAAACCGCACGCCGTCTCGGGTACTAATAGCCGGGGAACCAGGTATACCCTAGAAAGAAAGTCCCTGGTACCCCGACATACAATTATTTGCCCTGGTGGGAATCTGTCCCACAATCTGTAGCTTAGCAGTCAGGGTCACTAACCACTAGACCAACAAGCCAGTCGTAAATAATATAATTATTTATTCAAAGTCCACAAGTTCTCTGAATGAAAAATAAATAAAATATAACTAATACAAATTATTTTAACACCTAAATGGAGAAATCGTAAGTGAGTTGCTTTTCATCTTGGAATCTGAGTAATCGACTAAAATAAATATTTTCGCTCTATTGTTTAGAGTTAGGAATCGCAGTTTAGCAGCACTTAATAGCCTTTATATTATTTAAATTCATCACTCTAATCTATCCTAATATTTTGGCGAGGTAAAGTTTGTGAGTTTGTATGTTCGGGGTAATCTCAGGAACTACTGGTTCGAATTGAAAAAGTTTATTTGTTGTTGGATAGCCTTCTTATCGAGGAAGTTTATAGGCTATATAACATCACGTCATGAGCAATATGTACCGAGGAGTGCTATTCAGCATAATACGAAGCCACTCAGCTTTAAGGTCGTGCCACTTTTACAGATTTGTGGAGAACACATTTCGTATATTGTAAAGCCACACTTTGAAATTTACTTTATTTTAACTAAAAAAAATACTACACAAATGACCTTTTAAAAACAAAACACTAGGTCTTTTGCGAAAACCAGATTGGGTGTAGTTAAGTAATCTGAAAGTAAATACATTTGACAGTAAAATTATAAAAACCTGACTTATACCGTTTTTCCATCTAGGTATCGACTGTAGTAATTTCACAGTCTTTAAATCATCTAACATCATACAAAGTCTCATCTAAGTCATCAGAATCATTGATTATAGCTTCATCCCAAGGTCCATATTTATTATCCTTATACTTTTGCCAACTTACAAATAAATAAGGACAGTACAAATTGAAAATCAGTACTACCAATATAAAGAAGATTAGTAGCGTACTAGAAACAGTGTATAACCCGAAAATAGTGAAAATTAGAGTCACAAAATATAATATATTAAACAATTTTGTATGCAAACACGCTTTGAAAAGCTGAGGGCTTAAAACAAAAAGTAATACGGATATAGTTAATAAAATAAACGCATCAAATGGCGTTGAAAGTCTTGACACTAAACACACTGAAGCGAAAATGGCCGCGTTGATAGATAAAGATTTGGAAACAATTGCGGCTGGTACATTATAATCAAAAAATATTAAATGAATGGATAACATTATGACTGCCCAGGCGTATATAGTGTCAGTACTAACTGTATCTGTCAAAGTGTGTAAAATGGGAGATAATAAGTACCCTATTGTGACATACACTAAGACAGTTTTAAAATGACTTAATATTGCACTACCCTCAAAACATATATACAAAACGTAACCAATCAAACTAGCCATAATTGACACATATATAACTGTGTATGTGTGCACCCAATCGTTATACATATATACAAACATCAATGCGTATAGCACACATATACAGATACGTAGCATAACCCGAAATGAGCCTTGTATAGCTTCAGTTAAGGTAACTTTTTCAACGTGCAAGTTTTTTTTGAGTTCTCTTAAAAAATTTCTATCGGTGTAGTTATCCGGATAGTCACGGTTTTCGTAAAGGTTCTTCACCCAAGGCTTGCGTCGGGGAGGCTTTCGATGTTTCGGACGACTGCTTCTGAAAGCCGATGATCTTGCGTTAGGTTTCTTTCCTTAGATTTAAGTCGTTGGCCCATGTCATGCGGTGTTCCGCACGAGTCTGTTCTTGGACTACTTCTGTGGAACATGGGTTACGACTGGATCCGTCGAGGTGACTTTCTTCCCGGGCTGGGCGTAATCTGCTATGCCGACGACACATTGGTCATGGCCCGGGGAACAATCTTTCAAAAGATAGCGTCTATAGATCGGCTGGAGCTAGAAGGGATCCGGATCTCCGGAATAACAGCTGTTCCCGGATCCCTCCTATCCCAGGGGCATAGAGGCACACCCTGTCATTTTAGTCGATTCGATTCTGACACACCGCTCCGCCGTAAACACACGTAACAAAAAAGTTTCTCGTCTTAGATGTTGAAAAAATGGAAATAATAACACTTAACACCTCTGATCCGTTTCATTAAAAAATATATAAACGCGGTGACCATACCACCATATAAGAGTCAGAGAGGAATATTTTTTTAATCAGTAAATCTCAGGTAAGGATTATGTTTAAGGATATAGGAGGTCAAGAAAAGAGAAAGAAAAGAAGAATCAAGAAAAGAATAATTAGACTCCTCTTTTACTGATATACTATCGCCGCCACTCAGGCGTCACAAATGATTTATCGCCCTTTTTGAGTGAACCCCCCCCCCCCCCCCCCTTCCCCTTCAGTAAAAGGAGAGGAGGGTTTAGGATCCATTAACCTCATTCAATCATTGAAAAGTAACGACAAAACAGCTTAACACCGGTTTTCTGTAAAGCCGTAGGATCACTCCGGCCCATTTGTGGCGAAGCAATGCTCTCCCATGGCAACAAAACTCTTGCTTCTTTTTATGATTTTCTAATAGAAGAAATTAATAGGAACCGGAAATCAATGATAAATCGGCGCGAAACGCAATTTAGTAGCTATTAAAAAAAAAAAATATGAAAAATAAATACCTTGCAGCACCCTTCTTTGGTATTTTCTCCTTTATCTTCTTGTACTTCTCCTGCTCCTCAATATACTTGTTATACATTTCATTATCTTCTTCTTTCTTCTTGTTATCTCCCGCATCTTTCTGCTCTAAAACTTCTTTAATTTTGTCTTCTTTTATTCCTTTTATGTCTTTTCTTAGTTGTTTTATTTCCTTCTGGATTCTTTCTCTGAAATAAAATTGATCATATTACTGCTTACCTCATCATCTATATTATAAAGGAGATAGGTTTATTTGCTTTAATGGATTAAATTAAAAAATTGATTTTATTAAAGGGGACACACGAGCAGACGGGTCACCTGATGGAAAGTAACGTAAAGTAGTCTGATTATTAGATTACTTTTTACCGCGATACAACTCAAGAGACTCGAGTAAGCCTCCAGTAACCTTATTCACTCAATAATAAAAGTAAGGAAATAATTACTTGGTTGGTTGAATTAGGGACATATAACATGCACACGTGCGCACACACATACACACACAAACACACACACACACACACACACACACATACCCATATACACTCACAATATCTCCCTCTCTTTTCTATTTATAATATTCCCATATTAAGTTTTAGTAATATGTAAATAATGTATAACCGGGATTAGGGGGCCAGGAGACCTATAACACAAGTTTACTTAGTATGGGCTCCTGTCTCCCATCCAAGGTATTTTGTTTTGTAGTTATGTATCAATGTACTTTGTGGGAGAGAATTAAATAAATTTATTATTATTATTCGACATCGAAATTCTGTGAGGCCATAGTACCACTCCTGTTGAGCCAGCCACTCCCACTTCCAAAAACGCACTAATATTGTAATGACCTCAAAATTTGGAATTATTTTTATTACTTATTTATTACTCACTTTTCTTTTTTCCTCGCATCATCTCTATCTTTTCCAATATAATATTCTTCTTGTTCTTCCTCCGAACTTTCTTCTTTTTCATCCTGCTTAATTCTCTTGCTGTCCCCATCTGGACTCTTAGCGCGCTTAAAACTAAGTTTATCTCTTATATTGCTGACTGTGGCAGCAGTCTCTTTGATTTTTTGTTCATTTTCTTTTGTTGATAATACTGCTTTCTGCTGCTGTTCTTCTTCTTCTAGTTCTAGAAAAGGAAGAAAAATTAAGTTTGATTAAACAAAAATTATGTAATGAGGTGGAAGGCGTCTGATATCCATCCATCAACGCATCTGATAGTGGTTTCAGGTTCATAAACAGTGGGTTACGAATAATGGGGCTTAAATGTATCTGTGAAAATGATTTTTTTTATGGAAGAGGGGACAGACGAACAGACGGGTTACCTGCTGGAAAGTGACCACCGACGCCTATGAACGCCTGCCGCTCAGGAGTCACAAACACATTTCAATTTTTTTTTAAATTATCAAGATTAATTGTAATATGTTATTTATCACTAAGAAGGGCATTCATTACTAATATATTATTTTAATATCATATCAACAGCCTTTGATAGTGCACTGCTGGACATAGGCCTCTCTTTATAAAAGAGGATAATAGAGGTTATTTCAATATAGATTATAAATTATAGATATATAATTTTTCTTTTGATGATTTAATTTCAAATTAAATGAAAAGTCATTTAAATGTTGGGTGAAATTTGGGTCCCATGAAAAAAATCATACCTGCAGCAGTTTTCTTGCTTAATTTAGGATCTTCTAGAAGATCGTGAGTGGACTTGGGCTTCCCGCGGTACTCCTGTGCTTCATCCTCGTCTTCTTCTGCCTCCTCACCAAAGGACAAAAGACCGAAATTTCTGCAAGACAATAAGCATCCATAAGTTGAATAATAATATTGTAATAATAATACCTCACACATCTCACACACGGCCGCCTGATTCCAAACTAGGCAGAGTCTGTACTATTGTAACCTATGTTTTTAATTAAATACATATTATACTCAGACACTAAAGAAACGATCGTGCGCATCACACAATAATTTGTCATGGGCGGGAATCGAACACACGACTTCTGGGCTGTTCAGTCAAAGTCACTAACCACTGAACTAACAGGCCAGTCAAATAAATTATTATAAATATTATTTGCGCAATAATGATATGTAATACTATTGTGTGTGTTAATCTTATTATCTATACTATATTTTAATGCGAAAGTGCGTCTGTCTGTTACCTCTTCACGCTTAAACCGGTGAACCGATTTAGATGAGATTTGGTACAGAGATCGTCCGAGTCCCGGGAAAGGACATAGAGTAGTTTCTTCGTCCGAATCCCGGGAAAGGACATAGAGTAGTTTTTTCGTCCGAATCCCGGGAAAGGACATAGAGTAGTTTTTATCCCACAAATCATTCTTTAAAGGGGTGAAAATGGGGCTGCAAGTTTGTATAATGAATCAATAACCGCTGAACCGATTTAGATGAAATCTGGTATGAAGATACTTTGATTGTTTAGGAAACACATAAGCTACTGTTTACCGCGATAACCGACATTTACATAGGCGGAGCCGCGGGCAAAAGCTAGTTTAAAATAAAATGTTCATACTTAACACCCTGCCGTTCTTTCTTCTTTTTCTTGGGTTCCTCTTCTCTGATTTCCTCTACAACCCTCGGTACAATATCAGTGAATGGGTTAATAATCACAGTGGTACTGGTGATTCTGTGGGGGTGTTCTGGACGGTCGTCGGGACCGATGAGACCTTCAGAGAGCTTTAGGACATTGTAGATAGTTTCACCTGTATAAAGAAAATGATCTCATAAGGGTTACTTATTTTAAAAGAGTTGTCCAGAATACATTTAAAGGGACTTGACAAATACTAACATTTCTGAATAATTCGAATAATATGCTTACATGTACATAAATCACAATTTAAATTCCTGTATATAATAAGAAAAACATACTGAAAAACCATCTAACAAAGACCACCAAACTACAGACTGCTAATATTCCTGCATCAAACAATAAAAGTTCTCGCGCTGATTAGTGTGTACATATATACCTGCCACTACTGCCAGGCCTGGCCTGGTCAGAGAATTTACCTTTGCGTTTAAGAACATTGCACTTATTCCTTCAAACCTGCTTCAGTCAGGCATGATCCTCAGAACTGATTGGACTCAGTTGTATAACTATTTTTATTACATTACATGTGTTCCATTGGATTGACTAATAAATATTTATGTATGTATATCTAACCTGTGACTTTTCCAAATATGGTATGTTTATTCTGCAGTTCTGGAGTTGCAGCTAATGTGAAGAAGAATTGTGAGCCATTGTCGTCTTTGCCTGCGTTTGCTGAGCCGACGAGACCGCGACGATTGAAGCGTAGACGGGAGTGGAATTCATCCTGTTAGTACAATATTGAGTATGATGAAAAACATCAATTTAATACTACTAAGCTTTTCACTGTATAGCGGCCTGTTATATTATTTTGATACTACACACCACACACTGAAGGTACATTTTCGTAATAAAATATTCGTTCAAAATTCAGTTCCGATCTCACAAATGTCATAAAAGTCATTCAACTTTCGTTTCATTGGATGTTTGATACTTCAGTACGAGAATAGATTGGAACTGTAGTATCTCACTTCATTAGCTAAGCAAAAAGTTATATTAAGTGTATTTGTTAAACTACCAACTGGAAATAAAGTCAAGAAGAGGTTTAATAGACCCAATATTTCATTATTTTGGTAATTTTTTTCTTACATGAAGCAGTATTAGGTATGTAATAATTTGCCAAAGTACCTACTTATATAAAGTGACATTTGAACAGAATATAGAATAGCACACTATAAGAATTGGCATTGTTCAATTGTGTCTGACACTAACTTAATTTTTTTCATTGCACTAAACTGATTGAAGTTAAATCTTTATGTAAATTACTCGTATCAAAACATAAATTAGTAATGATTGAAGTAATTATATTTACCTACTCTTTCAAAACTTTGCTTTTCATCATCATCATCATCGTCATCAGCTTATCGCAGTTCCCTACTGGACATAGGCCTCTCCATTGCACTTAACTTTGCTTTTAACATGCATAAATAACATGAAACTTACTTTGAATGGAGCGCCATATATACTTTCTCCTCCTGTACCATCATCATTTGGATCTCCACCTTGCACTATGAACCCTGGCACTACTCTGTGAAATATTGTACCTGAAACATGTAAAATACAATTTACAATTTTAGATTGAAGAAGTGAAAGCTGTCTCATTTCTTAAAGACGATTGCGAGTTGACCAATAACAATTCAATATGTCAAGTATTCATCATCATCATCATCATCATCAACAACCTTTAGTAGTCCATCTAGACATAAGCCTCTCTTTACTAAGCAGGTTTTGGCCTACTATACCACACTGGCCAGACGGCTTGTATATGGCGGTATAGGGTGTGTCAAGTTTTGCTTCTCTTTACAGTCCTAGTTTGCTCCCTTAGTCGGCTCTCACGACTCCCATAGGATGAATAGCGTTGGTGACACACTGTATTCTTAATCCGTCACTACAAGGATCAAATTATATAAGCTCATATTTTTCAGGAAATACTACATGCAAAACTGTTATTGACTGTTACTATGTATATATTTTTTACTAACACTCTTCAGTCTATTTTGTGATACATTTTTTTCCAGAATTAAAGGTCCTGAGCTATATCCCTGCTGATGTTAATGCAAAATGCAGACCATAATTACAAAGGAGGGGCCTCAAAAGGTATCCACACATTTGTAGCTGAAGCTGAAGGAACCAACAAATATATACCATTAATGCCTGATGCCTGAAAACAGAAGAAACCGCTGCCCACGTAATCCTGGAATGTGAGGGAGTGGCCACAACAGGCAAGTACCATTCCTGGCACAAAATCGCTCCTAGAAGCCTGTGAACGTCCCAGGATGCTTCTGCGCTTCTGGAAAGAGCTTGGTTGGCTCACCTAGCCAACCTTTTCTAGACCATACAGGACTACTCTCGACTCTAAATGCGGAAATCGGAGCCCACAACCAATACCAATACCATACCACTTACCATTAGTGAACAATCTGCTTGTTTGACCTCTATACTAAAAAAAAATAGCTATTACATTTCAATTGTAATTATCCTACTATAAACATACCACTTTCCTGAAGATTTCTTTCTCTAAACCAAGCAAGTCTGAGCATGACAATGAAAATGACAATTTAAATTTTAAGTAGTCTGCCACTGTGATATATATTTTTACTATATTGGCTAATAAGAACTATAAATAAACTGTACAGCAAATGATTTCACTTTGTTAAAGTTCAGTCGATTTGATTATTTACCATTATAATATCCTTCCATACATAGTTGTATGAAGTTCCGACATGCCTTTGGAGCCTCTTTCGTCCATAGTTCTATGTCTATTTCACCAGCAGTTGTTTTTAATAAAACCTGAAATGTCAAAATACATTTAAATAATTAGCATTTATTTGCAGAAATGTCATTTCTCATGGCTTAAATTAATTGTCGCGATATCCTAATCATGCACACTGTACAGAAAAAATGGTAATAATACGGTACAGTTAAGTTCTTATTTTACCTTTCCTAATGCTGGCGGTTCCTGTATGTAAATGTTACTCATTTTGCACCTGACACATACACAAGCTTATAAACTACACTTTCTCTCGTTAACGGGTACTTATTTCATTCATTTAAAATAAAAATTCATTTAATCAAATTCTGAATTGGCGATGATAACAAATACCACGGCGTTGACAACTGACAATTTGACATTGACACTTCAGACAGTGGCCAATTCTTTTTTTTTTTTAATTTTTTTTATTCATGACCATAGATACAAGTCTTTCAGTCGAAAACATAGATGGGTGACATTCGCCAAAGATTTCGAGTGTTACCAACTTTAAGAATATTTTCCTCTAAATTCAAGGTGAAAACCCCCTGAAATCGCCACAATTACCTAAAAATTCACCTTAATAAAAAAACCGGTCAGTTACGAGTCGGACTCATGCTCCGAGGGTTCCGTACCTACCCAGATGTTAATTCTAATTTGTAAAAAATAAAAACAGTTGAAAATTAAGGTAAATTTTGGTACTTACAAGTTTTCGCGAAAATCGAAATTTTGCCCAGAACTTTTTATGGTGTTGACTCAGGACCTTGATTTTTAAACACCTAATAGGGACCATAGACCTCAGTATATGGTATAAATTTCAACTTGCTAGGTATACCCGTTCCTGAGAAAATCGGTGATGACACACGGACAGACGGACAAGAAAGTGATCTTATTCTTTTTTACCTTTTGAGGTACGGAACCCTAAAAACAATAAATAACACACTAATGGGCTTGGCGATTGTCAAAGTGGTTAGTTTTGGTAAAGTTTTTTTTTGACGACCGAGTGGCGTAGTGGTTTGTGTAACGGACTGCTATTTCAAAGGTAGCAGGTTTGATTCCCGCTCAAGTCAAACATTTGTCTGCATGAACATTTAATGTTTGATTTGGTCTGGGTGTTTTTATGTATGATAAGTATGTATCTACAAAAAAAGTATGTATGTATTTATATCAGTTGTCTCGTAGCCATAGTACTAGCTTTGCTTAGTTTGGGACTAGATGGCGTTGTGTGAATATGGTAGAATATTATTATATTATTATTAGTTACTTTATTCTTAGGTTAGTTTGTCCCTAAAACTGGCATGTTTATTTTTTATTTAAAGACAGGACAGCGTAATTACTTTTCTTCGGATTAATTAAAATCGTTTTTCTGTTACGTCCACGTAATGATTCATACATGTTAGGAATTTCTATATACATAGATACATAGACTAGTACACCATAAACAAGTTTTCCTTTCCACATAACGGCATGCGGCCTTCAACTTAGGGTCAGATCATGTATAAGTGCACTATATATAGTACTTCATATATCACTCTCTTAATTTAAGAGACAAGCCCTTGTCGGTTGAGCAATCGCCACTCCTGTCTATTTCCTGTCTGTCTGTTTGACTTCCTGATAGGCCACGACTTCTACTTTCTCCTTCACTTGCTGTATGCATGTTTATCTAGGCCCTCCTTGTTTTCTCTTGCCTTCTATTTTTACTTTCAGTATTCCAGTATTATTCTGAAGAAGTTGTCGTGTCTTATCAAGTGGCCAACCATTGGCCGGTGGACCGGTTTGACTGAAATTGGTCTTAAAATATTTGTGGTTATCCAGAGAAAGATTTAACGGCAAGAATATATGAAAAAAAAAACAGTTTTATTCGGTCCCGGTTGCCATACTCACATCTGTAGCAATCGTTACGGGGGGTTGGAGACCTACTAAAAAGTCCGACAGCAATCTTTCTACAGAACTTCGATATAGCATAATACTTGGGTTGTGATGGTCTGATGGTCGCTCTTCGAAATCGAAGTTCAGCTGTGTTGTAATAGACTAAAAGCCGACTAAAACCTAGTTTGGGAAAAGGGTCTGAAGAAGGAAAAAGGAAGTATAGATAAATAGATGTAAGTGATGCAAAGTTCAAGGGGCATCTAGTATAAAATGAATAAGATCTGTAGTTTAACTCTAACTTTTTTTATAATCATTTTACTCAATCACGTCACGGTCACTTGAAATCGATCAGGATACTACTGACTAATCCACTTCTTATTTCATAGCTCTCGGAGTCATTTGTATAATATTTGAAGTGTCTTTATTATAAGGGTCTATGTGTATGTATATAATTTAAGCCTGTTTAGACTTTATTTTATTTATTAAAAACGTAACGCACATGTTGTACAAAGGCGGACTTAATGTCATGAGGCATTATCTCCCAGTCAACCTTCAAATGAAGTAGAAATGTGATATTGCATTGGACATAAAAGAAGTCCAGAAGTATACACATACATACATAGTATATATATAAAAACACATATACATATATTACATACACACATAAACATACATTAATTTAATATAATATAAAATACTCAGTCGGGTACTAGCGTCGTAAATGTTCTGCCAATCCACTCCGACTCACGCATCATTTACAGAAATTACATGTAATTTTTGTTTTTTTTTTTTCTAAGAATTATTTACACTTACAATTTATACAATCTTTTTTGAACTCGGAACTCGATTGTGTTTTATTTTCATTAAACTATAGGTAAACCAAATATTTTTTCACGATTTCATGTGTTTTGGTTGATTGATAAATTTGGTATTTATCTCACCTCTTATCACTTTTAGATATACATAAATTAGTCCGAGTTATCTCGGCATTTTGTTGTCAATAGGAGCGTGATTAGTCGTATTTGGCAGCGTTATGTTAATACAGGGATCCTACTGAGCAGCATCCAGGACGTAGAAACACTACAACTGCTTGACAGCACCGATTTATACAACTAACTGTAAGACGTCAGCCGATGATAACCAAAGTTTAAAGCTACAATTCTCAAGCGGTGTTGTTGTTAGCCACCGAACCTTGAGAAATCATCATCATCATCAACAGGCTTTTTACAGTCCACTGCTGGACATAGGCCTCTCCTTAGAAAGGAGGCTTTGGCCTACTATACTTACCACGCTGGCCAGATGGGTTGGTATAGGGTTTGTATCAAGTTTTCCTTCTCTTTGCAGTGTTGTTGTCCTGCGTAGTTTGCTCCCTTAGTCAGCTCTTACGACACCCACGGGATGAATGGGGGTGGGGACAATCCGTATTCTTAATCCATCACCACACGGAAATAGGCTGCATGAATACGCCTCACAATTAGGTGCCATATAGGTGTACCTGTTTACCCATGCCTTATGTTCACCCATTTGGACAAAGTCTTGACTCAGACAATACGCGTTCGCACAGAGCTCGGAGTACCAGAAAGTTCTTAGCAATGGAAAACATCTGGGTATTTCCGTAGCCTGCACAATCGCAAGACCTCAATCCCATGGAGCACGCATGAGACATGCTCCAGAGACGTGTTTTAGAGAACCTAAAGAGTGTCAACAACCCAACAACTGAAAGACTTCTTAAAATTTCAATCCGGAATCGTATTTTTAATTATTGTGATTTAATGAACAATTGAATGCATCAAAGAATGCTTAGTTATTATTTATAAAAGAAATATAAATACAATATAATAGTAAAAATCGTTAAAAAGTTCAAAACCGTACATCTTGCTAGACTTTTTTGATGTGTGTAGTACGTATTCCAAAATATTATAATTAGGTACTTAGTGTATGTATGTAGGCAAATTTTTCGTAACACATGTTAATCTTATTTTTATTTAATTAGTTTGAAACAGACACCTGCACTATACAGCTCTGCATCACCGATAAGTTGGCTAGAAAATGCCTTTGCCATTAATTCTGCTTTTAGCAATGTAATTCCAGGAAGTGTGAATTTAATTTTGTTTATTAAATACACAAAAGACATTAGAATCAAATAAAATCCTTTTGAAATTAAGTAAATAAAAGTAAAGAAAGTATTGTATTGTAAATAAGTAAATAAAAGTATTGTTGAACCGACTTCAAACAATACTAACAAAGACCAACTAAACTCACTGCTCATATGAAATAGCAAGATTTCGTGAGTCAAAAAACATATCATCGATGTATACAATTTTTAGATTTTTTCAGAAACCACTTGACCGATTTCTATAAAATTCAAATGGGGCCACCTAGGAGGTAACCTTTAAAACAATAAAATAACTTTCCAAATCAGTTCAGGTGTCTTCGAGTCGGGGTCGTCTACTCGTCTGTAGATGACCCGAGGTATGTCGGGGCACCAGGGACTTCCTTTCTAGGGTATACCTGGTTCCCCGGCTATTAGTACCCGGCGACGGCGTGCGGTTTTAGTCGGTTCGAGTCCGACATGCCACCGACAGGTGGTATCCGAGGGGATTTCCGCACGGAAAAAAAAGGTGTCTTCGAGTAATCGGTGAACATACATAAAAAAAGATTCCGACGAATTGGGAACCTCCTCTTTTTGGAAGTCGGTCAATAAAATAAAATTCTTCTTAAAGAAAATGTTCTCCAAATTAGTTTTCCCAGGCAAGTTGAGTTTAAAAGCACAGCACAGTATGTTTATATGCCTAGTTAGTGTTATACGGTCGTGTATAATGTGTCAAGTAAGATAAGTTAATGTGTTTTCGTTAAAGTTTTCTCCACTTTTAAGGCACTGTTATTATAACTGAACTTAAAGTAGACTTAAAGTCGACCCTATTTTCGATGCCCACTTGAAAATAGTCTAACATCGTTTTTTTATTTGTATTTAACTTATTACCCCACATGGCCTAGCCGTTGGCTAACCAGCCTGTCTTGCCAAAACCATTGCATTAATCAATTACCTTCTTATCTATGATTTAAAAAGCTGTCATGTCAATTTTAATTTGCTTTTATCAGTAAAGAGTTCCGTAGTTCAATTGTCTATGATGCACTAATTTTAGTACTTCTTTTATCCTGAGGTAACAAGTATGGGACCTGACAAATAGTAATTGGTTATACGTGACCATGGAGGATGATTATTATTCTTTAACTTTTTAGAATTTTCGTTGTTAAAGAAACTTTTAAAGTGTCTTGCAAAAGCGTTTTTAGCTGCCCATGTCAAGTTATGTAAACAAGTCAATCAATTTAATAAAAATAAGTACATAATAAAAGGTTTA